AGCGGACCCCCGAGCGGCCTGGGCTCGTCCAGCGCACCGCGCACACGTGCGTGGGGAAAGGCACGTCGCAGGCGGGCAGAGCTCCTGTCTCTTATACACATCTGCTCCCTCCGTCCCGCCAGTCGCCAGGCCTCCGCGAAGGGATGGATGTGCGCCTTGTTTTGCAACTTTGGTGGCAGGAGGGATAAGGAAAGTGAGTCACGGAGGAAGTGATTTGCCCAAGGTCGCACGGCCGGTCTGTGTCAGTGCTGAAGCAAGACCTCCTTGGACTCCGGTGCCTGCGATAACACCGACTGCCACCACACGTGGGTATAGAACACCCACTCAAGGCTGGTACTGGTGGAAAAATCACCAGGTCGGCATCGCTGCCCGATTGTTCTCCTTGGTAGAAACATGAGCATGCCGGCATGCTGTCTCTACAGCCATTGTCTGTTCTCCTTGGGGACTTTTTCCAGAGCATTCACACTCTAAATGCTCTAGAACTTTTCTGCCTTTTTTTTTTTCAACGTGTGTTTTGGTGTTTTAGCTGCGCAGATGGAGTGGTCAGTGCCTCCCCACCACCCTGGTCTGGGTCTTCATTATCTTAGAAATCCCTTTTGCGATGTTTGGTATTTTCTGCGGTGCAATGTCGTAGGTGTTGCTACGTCTCCCTGCCCCCAAAAGTCTCTTTCCTCTTTCCAGACCCCCCCAAGTGGAAAAAAAAACAAAGGCGGCAGCTAAAGGAAAGCTTACTCAGAAACTTGAAACCGCGGTTGTTCAGTTAAAGAAAGTGAAATAGTTATGGTTTCTACTTTAAAGCCCTCCGCCTTCTGCGTCTGGCCGTGTTGCTGTTGGAAGGTGCCTCTCTGGCCGCTGTGCGATTGAGGGGACGGGCGGCTGCGTGAAGCGGCTTGGCTGTCGCTGGCCTGGAAGTACGGAGCTTGCCGGGCTACGCTGCTCTAGGGTGTGCACCGAGGATGCACTGGGGTTGCTGTGGGCCTTGCTTGTGCTGGCTCAGAGTCCCAAAGGTCCAGGCTCCCTTTGACTTTTCTATCGAGTCATCAACCCAGCTGCACCACGTCTGTTCCAAGGGGAAAAAACTTTGCTTTTCCTTCTCCACGCTGCTCTTCTCTCCTGCTGAAACGCTGCGAGCGCTCTCCCTCCCAGCGTGCTTGCTGTGCAGAGAGGTGCAGAAGGGAGCGGTAGCAAGAGAGGAGGCTCTTGGTTCCCTCTGTGGGGAGCATCTGCCATGTCCCAGCTGGTGGCTGTTTCTGGCTCCTGCAGAGGCGTTGCTCACCTCGGTCATCTGCCGCCGGTCACAGAGTCCTGAGTAAAAGATGGGTGCTGGGATTATTTCCCATGCCCGTCTCTTGTCGGTACAGTGTCCAGCTCAGCGTGGCCATCGGGACAGCCTTTGCTTCTTTGTGCTGTCGCAGGTGATTGCATCAGGCTTGGCTGCTGCTAAGACTGAAAGCTCTGAGCCGCTGGAGCACTTGAGGACGTCTCTGTGTCCTCCCGTGATCCAGATGTGCTCTTGCTGGTGCTAGTGGTGTGTTCCAGCTGCTGCGATGGGTTTTAAGCTGCTCGGGTCTAGCTGCTTTCTGGGGACGGCACAGGCTGGCTTCCAGCTCTTAATTCCTTAGGGCTCCATTCAGTTTTAAATACCCTGACCGACGGATCTCCGAAGTAGGCCTCGTCGGGGGACCGAGTCCCCTGCGGAAATGCACGAGTCTGCCGTTCCTGCCCGGGAATGCGTTGGGGTCTGCTGCCCCGGTGACCCTGCTCCTGAGTGGGGGCTGCTGCCTCCCCCAGCAGCACCGGCCGTCCCCCGTAGCCTAAGCCCAGCAGAAGCCCGGAGTTTGCCCCGCCAATGTAATTTTCCTTGTGCTGCTGCTCTTTTGGCAGAGACCCAGTGTCGACGCCAGTGCCCTGGATGAGAGGGAGCGTAGGAGAGTTGTGCTACGTTTGTGACTACTTTTGGCATTTTTAACAGGAAATGTGGTACATAGATGCATGGGTATATGATACAACGAAGGGTAGAGATACCTTAGCGATGTGATGCACGGATGCAGCAATATTTTGTCAGTGTTACTTAAGCTGCATCAGCAAAGTGCTCGGAGGACTGCCAGCATGACTCTTCTGGCAAATGAAAATCTAATGCAGGTCAGGACTCGGTGTCGCTCAGCTCTCCTTTCCTCCCAGGAAGAGCTTGACTGACAAACATGTCATCTGGTGATCTCGTGCGTGGTTCCATGTATCCAGGGGCTGTGGGAGTGCTGGATACTGACTTTGTGTAGTTGATCTCCATGAGATTAAAACTACCTTGCCAGGTTTCTTGTAGTGCTGAAGCTGTGGAAAAATACACCTGTCTTGGAGCAAGGGGCCTAGGAAGCGCTGCAGCTGCTTTGCTTCTCAGTTGTGCGTTTCCAGCAGCTCTGTGCGGTGCAAGGGGTGAGGACAGCCGGAACAGTAATCCTCAGTTCTTCCTGACTTCTGTTTTGACGTTGCGTGCTGCTTTTCTGGTGGGTCGGTCTTTGCTTCTCTGGTTTGG